GGGGGCGGCGGGGCCTCGCGGGGGGTCGCAGCCGGCCTGAGGGGGCTCCCCCGCCCCTCCCCCTCCTCTCCCTTGTCTTCCCCCTCCTTCAGCCTCGCTCTGGCCCTTCAGCCCTCGCCCCTCCCCCTCCCTGAGCGGCGCGAGGGCGGGGCTTCCGCTTCCGGGTCGCGCGGGAGCAGCACGTGGGTCCGGCGACGCCCCTGGGCGCTGGGCACCTGCGGAGGGTTGGGGGGGGGGTCTTTTGGTGGTGCTGTGGTCCCCTGACCCACTGGGGCCTTGCCTTGCAGACATGGCGGTCAACGTGTACTCCACCTCGGTGACTAGCGACAACCTGAGCCGGCACGACATGCTGGCCTGGATCAACGAGTCATTGCAGCTCACCCTCACCAAGATCGAGCAGCTGTGCTCAGGTAAGACGGCGCCGCCGGGGGAGGAGCGCGGTGCTGGCACCGCGTGGCCGTGCCTTGAGGGCTGCACCGGGGCTACGGTCCGAGCACTGGCGAGGGTTGTCCGTCGGATTGCAGGCCAGGGAGTTGCTGAGCATCACCATGTAAAACGTGTCGAGCTCAGTGTGAAGGGTGGTTTCTTCCTCCGCTTTGCTGCGGTGTCAGGAAGAGGAGAGCGGTGCAGGGATGGGAGGGGTCTTCTCCGGGACGTATTTTATTCAAAGGAGTTGAAGCGGCTTTTATGGACAGGACATGGGCCTTGTAGACGCAAGGATCAGTGTACAAGAAGCTATGACTATTAAAGAAACTTCTTGCATACTGATTCTTATGCCTGGATCACTTTAGTGTCCTCCTTGTTTCTTTCATAATTGCAGCAAGGAGGAAACCAAGGTGATCCAAGCATATGGACCAGTATGCAAAAAGCTGTGATTATGAAAGAAACAAGGAGGAAAGTAAGGTGAAGTCTGGGGGGAGTTTAAGGATTGAAATGGGTCAGTAAGAGGAGAAAAGAGTCTGGTGAGGTCAAATTGCACCTTAGAAAGGCCGGCAAAGCGATTTGGGGTCATGTGGCTGAAGATGAGGATGTCGGCATGGATAAGCCTTGGATAGACTCAGTGGTGGAGAAAAGGCAAGTACCTAAGTGTATAGTGAAGTTGTAGGATACGGGTTGTTGCTGTCGATACTGAAAGGAAAGGATGGCTCCTGGGGGTGATAAAGATTTAGTGTAATAGGGCCTGAGAGAGGATGTGGGGAAGAAGAAATGAAGGTTAAGCAAAAATTGTGGATTTCTGCCAAAGAGTAGTGATCGGGATGCTAAGATTGCAGCAGGATGGTGAAGAAGAGGGGACTGGGGTGAGCTGGAGCGTGGTAGGATATCCAAGAGGATGGGAGACCTAGAAATTCCAGACTGAATACAATTAGGGAGAAATGGACGTGAATCTGGGAGCTGTCAGCACAGTTTGTAGCTTAGTCCACGGAGGCAGACAATTCAGGAGGAGTCTTGGGGCACCACTAGCAGGTCCTGGGTCTCCCAGATGAGATGCTGGAGACCTGTCAGTAGAGATGAAGGGAACCAGGAGTTTAGAATTCTAGGAATGGAATTGCTGAGATCATTAATCTGTTTCCAAAACTGTAGACTCAAAATAGGAACAAGGATCCTTAGGCTTATCTAGGCTGCTGGTAATTTTCCTTGAGGATTAATAGATTTTTGACCCCATGAGAATCTTGCCCTGAGGATTGAGGGAACCAGTGTTTGTAGCTTCTGTAGCATTTGGATTCATTGGCCAAAGGAAGGCTTAGTTTAGTCCAGGGGTTCCCAACCTTTTTATGCTGCAAACCGGCAAACCGTAGACTGGAAGTGTCTGTGAACTGGCAAACTGTGGACCAGAAGTGGCCGCAGATGAGTAGTGACAGGCATACTGTGGGTGGGCTGCTGGTCCACAATATGCCAGTCATTTCTGGACTTCCAGTCCAGCAGCCAACCCTCTGGTGGACTGGTAGCCAAACCTTTGCAGCCCAGTAGCGGGCCATGGCCCAGGGGCTAGGAACCCCTGGTCTAGCCCACTGCAGGTTGTGCAGTGTTTGTAGACAGACTTCTGTAAATGCCACCACTAAGTGAAAGGTACAAGTTTGAAAGTTTCACAGCGGTGTGATCGGTTTTCACCATCGGTTATAGCAATTTCCTAGGGAAAGTCATGAGCAGTAGAGCCAGGCATTGGAGTGTTTCACTAAATAGGAGCAGCAAAGATTCTGGAGTCCTGTATTGTGGAGACTTTCCTTCTCTCACACTGTTATGAAGGCAAGAAGGGAGGAGAGAAGCATCATGCTAGTGATGGGAGGAAGTGTGAAAGGGGTGCTCTAAGCACGAAGAGCATCTTGATGGGGAGGGGAGAATGAAGAGCTTTTTAGCAGTTCTATGTAATGTGAATCGAATGTGTGTTAAGAGTGCAAGTGCAAAGGGGAAAACCTGCAATGCTGTATTCTTGGCTGTTAAATGGATCTTTGGCTTTTTTTGCAAAAGCTTGCTTACCTGGTTGATGCAGTAGTTTAGGCCCCTTCTTGTTCCAGCTCCCGTTGCTGTTGCAAAGTGTGGACTGGGACTCCTTTGGTGCATTAGAAGAAAGTAAAGCTGCTAAAATGCATGTTGGCAAGCAATTGCCACTGGTCCATGGAAGCTAGCTGACATTACAGATGTTCTGCAAAATGCATAGTAATGCTGCAGTCAACCAAAAGGACTAGAACTTTTTTAAGGAGAAAAAAAAAAAAAGATTCCTCATCTTCTGGTTGATTGGAATTTTTCCCAAGCTCTAGTTGCAGTAGGTATTGAATTGAAGAGAATGTGGGGTTTGCGGTGAGTGGGATGAAGCTTGAGTTTTTGTTAATTTGATTATGGCTTTTTTTTTTTAAAGGGCCCAGTTAATTATGTTTTATATAACTTATCTTTAAGACACCTCTTAGTCAGGGACCCATTAAAGTGTACGCAGGTCCTATTTGTGCCAGAAATCAGAATGAACAAACAAAGCAATCCCTAACTTTTTCAATCTTGTTCTCTTCTACTGAGACCTTGTTGTCTACCTGAGTAAGCAATCACCCAGTAGCATAACTGAAGAGGGATAAACAGAGCA